CCCCAGCTCGGACCACCAGGCAAGCACAAGAGCGATATCCATGGGAAGAAGAACGCGGGTACCGATGGCGACAGCCCAGGCAACCAGGATCATGTCGTCAGCTGAGCCCGACGGCTGGTCTTCCGACAGTTGGTCCAGGTAGCGGCGGCGACCACAACGGGTCGACATCTCAGCCTAGGCAGCCAGGGAACAGTCGCCAGCAGAACCCAGCAACTGATATTCTGACAGTCGATCGAGGGAACGACGGCGATCAGAAAATGTGGAAATCTGGGGGATGGGATTACTGACGTAACGGATGTGCAAATGATGATCAGAAGTGGCAGAAATCAAGCACATATTGGACGTGGTGAGAGAAAAGGAATCATTTCTCGGATCCCGCGCCTTGGCTTGGATTAAACGAGTACAAGATGTGGCTGCGCAAAACACGGATATCTCCTGAGTGCTGACGTGGCTCCATAGAAACACGCCAACTGCATCATGAATACTTTTTCCCTACGGAATAATAATCTAGAAACGCCACCGATGACGCTCTCAGGCTCCATGCAGGTGCCGATTGAGTATTATCAGTACCATCGGGCAAGGAAAAGAGGAAAACCGCCCGTGAGTGCATTTTTTCATTCCAGAGGAAGCAGGGAGAGGGCCTCACCGAGGATTTCGCACGCGTCGACTTGGCTTGTGACAAGGTCGGTTCTCTGGGACTCTCAGCGCCAGTGATGACAGCAGCTAATGAAGGTTCTCATGAAGACCGAGGTCTCTTACGCGGAGGCCTCGGCAGCGATGAGGGAGATGGACGTTGCTTGACGGGGGCACCTCAATCGCGCGAGGTTCAGGGGTTCAGGTCCTATCACGCCCTTCCGTTGTCGGCCTCAGAACGCCAGGATGAGCCCACCTGCGCCTGCTCCGTAGTGGCTGACGAGGATGGTTCCCTGATCGACTACGACGACGTCGATGAACGCCGAAAATGCAAAATTGATCCACCCGGCAATCGTGTCCACAGATGAACTTGCAGGTGCGGTGGCGGTCGCGCGTGATAAAAGGCGTGAGGCATGGGCGTAAAACCGTGACCTGAAACCCAAGCATCAGGTAGGCCGCACGTTCTTTGACTGGTCCATCGAGGCCCATCGGCTCCGTGGGAACCAGACACCACGCCGCGGGCAAGGCCATCGTGGAGCAGATGGGCAGCTGCCACTTGCCGAGTTGATCAATCGCGCCAATCGCTGGGCCCGCCGCCAGCATGGCGCTGGTTGCGCGAATGCCCGCAGACAGGCCAGGATCAGAGTGCCAGTGCAAATGCGAGGGGGATCGCGAATGACGGCGCCTTTATCGGCTGCGCCTTCGCGATCGTCGCGGGCCCCAACCTGGGGCGGCCGCAGTCGGGCGCAGGTGCTGACCGAGCGGCGCTCGCTCCCATGGCCGCGCCAGACGGGGGGGCCGTTGTCAACGCAGCAGCTGGCCAGGGATTGACCGGTAAACCATCCGTTGAGGGGCGCGAGAGAAGCTCAGTGATGATGGTCCTAGGATGCCACTAGTTAAGCAAAGGAATCAAATTGCCCGGGGCATCTGCAGGGGCGCCGCGGTGATCGACGCCGCTCTCGCCCCAGCGGGCACCCTGGAACAAGTCAGAGTGGTCGGGCCGGACGTTTGGAATGACGGTTTGCCTCATCTTTTGCTGGTGGGATTCCAGGGCGCGCTAGGGGCAGCCGCTCACTTGGGCCCGAATCGCATGAGTTCCAAGCGTTTAGGGGCCTCCCCGCCCACGCGGAGACGCCGCGCCATCCTGCTAGATGGTTTCGGATTTCCAGGCGCCGATGTCAGATGCCCAGACGGGGGCCCCGCGGTGGCGCCCAGGCCTCCAGGAGGGCGATGATTTTATTGCAAGGCAGTGCTCGAATTTATTTCCCCTGCCCCTCTTCTCGGCGCCATTCACCGCGCGGGGCGGGGGTGCGTGGCTAAGGGCTGTCCCGGGTCGGATCCCAGGGCCCGCCTGGTCGAGCGCCCCGGGGGCGCCGGGGGCCCGAGGCTCCTGCGTCCCTTATATGGCAGAAGAACGGGGCCAATCATCGGGGGGGGCCGATCTCTGCGGGCAGGTCCAGGACAGCGCCGCCTCGCCCCGGGGGGCGAAGGGGAATGGCCCGACGCTGCGCGACCACAGGGTGAAGAAGCACCGCCTGGACAGGTCGCTCGGGATCCGCGTCTTCTTCATGAGTGGGGCCCATCGCGCTCGGTGCGAAGCCGGGGGCCGCCGTCGCGTCTGCGATTCAGTTGCGACTTGGCAAGTGTCTGGGCATTTCCGAGCACCCACCGACTATCTCATCGGGTCCCGAGCGCTCCTCTCCTGAGAGCGGCGGCGCGGCCGAGCGTCGCGGCAACGGGAAGAAGAAGGCGCCTGCGGTGAAGTCGGGCCTGTCCCTCTACAGGGGGAATATTCAAACATCGGCAAGACATAGTCTGGGGATGGTTGTCTTGAAATATTGGTTGACTGCGTTTAAACATGTTTGTTTTTGGGGGGCTCGTCCAAACTCCGCCTGCGGGGGGGCGCGCCCGACCTGAGCCCACGGAGGTGCAACGAAGGGCGTCGAAGCAGGAGCGGCAGCGGCAGTCTATGAAGAACCTGGCGAAGACGGTGTCTGGACAAGTGCGCGCTATGGCGGTTCGCGGGTCACGTGTGCAGCAGGTCCAGACACCAATAGCAGTCGTCCAGTAGCGCACTTGCGAGTTCAGCCAGGTAGTCAGTCTGGACACGCTCTTCGTCGCTTCTGATCATCAGCTGCGGCAGCGGGCCCGTCCGAGCGCGGTCTGCCAACGACGCTAACTTTCATTGGATCGTTGAGGTGCGCGGCGGCGCAGCACTGGCAGCTTGGAGAACTTCCATGAGATGCTGGATGCGCCCCCTTGGGTCCGGTCGGGTGCGCCATCGCGGACGGATGGGGCGGAGTCTAAAGAGTTCCACGAGGGGGGTCGCACGCCCGGCGGAACTCCATCGCGCGACCGATTCGGAGTGCCCGCGGCAGAACGGCAGAGCCGAGAGACGCGAAGATTGAGCGAAAGAAATCCTTCTTAGGACCTCGGAAAACATTGAGGTCACCGCGGCGCCGGATTTCGAAACAATAGTGCACGAGGTCACCTGCGTTGGGCGATCAACCAGAGCGGAGGCGGCAGGTGCCGCATTTAGTTTCGCTACCAAGGTCAATTGCCCTTCAGTGGAGAACCTGTTGAGGGCAAACAAAATGGTCGACCACCTTCGGAGCACGGCCTCCCTTCCCGTTATAGTCTGGCGCTTCCGACCAGACAACTTCATGCGTATTGGCCGCGGCCAACGACTGCGGGGGTTTTGGGGCGGAGGACAGGACATTGGGAACGCAGCGCCCTCAGGAGATTTGGCAGGTGTACGTCGCCGACATTTCCCTGGTTCACGGATCCCGGGACAGGGTTACCCCAGTTACTTGGCGCTCGGATGAGTTAAAAAGACTGGTCGTTTCCACCCTCGCCAGGAGAACTTCTTCCTTTTCCAATGCTCTGGGGGAGGCGAGTTGCTTCATCTTCTCATGATGGGTGTCATGAGGGGAAATGCTGTTCAGGAGAACTGGAAGGAACATCGTGGTCCAACTGTCATTCTCCTTCAGCAGAACTGTACAGTCTTGACAACTGTCGGAACAACGGAAGCAACGACAACACAAGGAAACTTCAGCCACGTGGGCGCAAACATATAGCCAGCTAAAGTAGTCATGCGTTTCGGTGTCTTCTGTACCTCTTCCTCCCTTTTCCCCTTTCTTTCCCTCTGTTCCTCTCTCTTTCCCGCTTGTGGGGTCCTCAATTTCTCGCGGCCTCGAGCGCGGGTCACATTCTTTTTCGCAGGCCGACGAACGCTCCAGAGTCTCTCTTTATGCGAGGAGCTTGGAAACGTCATCGAGCCAGGGAATGACTGGCTTGCTTTGCGTGACCATGCTTGCCACGCCGTCTTTTCGTTGCTGGGGAAAGGTCGAAGGCGCTCAAGCCGCCAGTTCTGTAAGCTGTATGATGAACTTCCCCACTCGGGGCAGTGACCGTTTCTTCTTCCCCTTCCTGAGCGACGCGTTTCGCGTGTAAGACGAAGACGGGATCGTGTACCTCCGGATCGCGCCACGTCAGAGCCCCCAGAAGAAGCCAGCGTATGTCCAATGGGTTCGTAGCCCGTGAGCCGACTTTCGTTTAAGCCCAGTTTGTTCCGGGGTATTGCGGGGATCGGCCCCAGAGGCTCAACATCCATGCGATCCCTCTTCAGGCATACCCTTCGGCTTGAACTTACAGAGGCATGGCCCACTTGCCGCAGTCGCTAAACCATGCATCCTTTTCTCTTTTTTTATTCCTCCCACTGTTTCACTCCATTCTCTATCTCGAGGCCGACTGCATTTCTGCAAGGACGCCCTGGGGCCAGCTGTGACCGGAGGGAAAGCAGTGTGTCTGTCCGTTGATTTCATCCGAGGTGGGACACAGGGGAGGCCCACGTTTAAACCGACCTACTTACATTCAGACCCATTCGGACCCAGTTGCGCAGAAAAGGTCATACTCCGACGCTGCGAGAAAGAGAACTCGCCAGAAACGACATGCAAGCGTGGGGAGGTCCTCGTCGGAGGATGGGTGCATGTGTTTCCGGAATCGGGATGGTAGTCGCGCTTCAGGCAGGCCCAGGATGAGGATCAATCGCTCCAGAGGCCAGGGTGCCTGACACATCGTGTAGACCCACCAGCTTCCAGAGATTCCCGATCTATCCGCACCCGAACGTGTCCTCATCGTGCCTTTTTTTAACTGTCCTTGCGCTGTGTGGTAAGGCTTTGGGTTGCGCGCAGACCCCCCCCCCCCCCAGGTAGTCCCAGCTAGCCTCAGCAGGCACCCCGAGTAGCCCAGGGCGGCCTCGACACCCCGTCGGGGGTACCTGTCGAGGCCAGCCAGGACCACCTGGAAGGGAAGGGCTGCCTGCCCGCACCCCGAAGCCTGACCAATGCCGTGATTGCTCCTCTGAGGTGGTCGCGCTGGTGCCCGCGATCTCCTTCTCCCGCATCCAGCCGACGGTCTACCTGTGGGGCCAGGCGCGCGACCGCGAGCCTCCAAACGGAGGACCAGTCCGGGGCAACGCTGGGGGGGATGAGCTCCGGTGGGGAAGCATCGACCCCTCGATCGCCCTGTAGGCGCCGACGTGGGGCCCGATGGCCCACCCCGCCCAGGAGCGTGCGGATTCGCTATCGGGGGCCCATCGCCGATCTGCCGGCGATGCATGGTAGACCCCAGGGCGATGTGCCCCCTCGGAGCTGGTCGCCCCCGACGGCCAAGAACTCTGGCTGAGCGTGTTGCTCTCTGCCAGTTCTGGCCCACCACGCTCTGGAGCGGCACGGTATCCACGTCCCAGTCCCCGAGCGTCAATGTCCCGAGCCTCTCCCAGCCCCCCGCCCCGTGGAGCGTGGCGACACGCCATCCGCTCGCAGGGCACATCGTGCCGCCGGGGCCGCCGCCGCGACAGGCTGAGCAGAAGTTCCCGACCGCACAGGGCCTGGCTTGCATAAGGAGCGCTATTTTTCAAAAGGGGCTCGGCCGTTCCTTTCGTTTGTGGGCGTTCTGCTTCCTTTTCGGCGGCGAGCCCCCCTGGAGTTCCTTCGGACTTCCCAGACTTACCTGGGAGAAAGGAAGGGGCTTCGTTCCTTATTTATCGTTCCTTAGGTCAGGCCGAATGCTGTAAGGCTCCCCCTCCACCGGGAAGGAGGCGGCCAGTCGAGGAGGGGAGGCGGGCGAGGGAGGGGAGAGGGTCACCATGGCTGGCCTCGGACGAGGGGGTCATCGCTCCAGAGCGCTGCCTGGGCGCTCCCAGGGCCTAATGGGGGAAAAGACTAAGCATGGCTGGGTGAGATTTCATACCACCCCTCGTCAAAACTTATATGATCCTCCAGAACAGTGGTACTCAAGCTCGCGTGGCATCAAAAGGGGGGGGCCGAGAGGGTTCTGCCGACCAAGCGGTCGAGCAACGGTAGAATCCTCTCTTTCTTCCCGGTTGCGGCCGCTGCCACTGCAGCCGGCGGCCCGAGCGTTCTCGCGGCCCCGCCCGCGCTGGAGAGCCCGCGGCCCCGATGGGCATCACGAGGAGGCAGCGCGGTCAGCACCGTTCCAGGCCTTTTGGACCACAGCCGAGCGTATCATTGAGACACCCTCTCCGGAACAGTTGGGCCAGCGTTTCTTAACCAACTTGCCGGAAAGCTGGCCCAGTTTACTGAGCACGTTCGTCCCTTCAGCGTTAACAGCAGAAAGTTGCCCAGGTTTGTTCGGAGACACTTCCGGGAACCTCGCCCAGATTTCTTCAATGATTATTATGTTGGTCACGTTTTCGGCTGTATCACCAGGAGGCTGGATACGCATAACTCGAGTAGGGGATCGACTACAGAGTCGATGTATCCTGAAATTAATTGTGCCGTCGAATATGTAGACGAAAACGTCGACTTTTCGTATATCCATCAAAGTTCTACGCGTTTTTCATGGATTCGACGAAAACAAGGAATTTTGGGGTAAATCAGCTCTATAGTCGGTCCCCTACTCGGATGCCTCTGCTGGCCTGGACAAGGCAGGGGATGATGTGTGAGGCGTTCCAGAAAAGGGTCTCGCCGTCGGCGCAGCCTCGCCGTGGGCGGAAGAGCTGGCGCAGGGCGGGGCGGCGGAAGAAGCCGGTGGAAGCAGGCGGCGGAAGGCCCCGCTGGCGGAAGGGAAGGCCCGCGGAGGGCGGCGAACGCAAACGTGGAGCGTCATCATTGTTGGGTCCAGGGTTTCCCCTCTTCCCCTCGCGCGGCCGCCCCTGTTCTCGCCTCTCCCTCTCTTGCGCGCCGGACTCTTTGCCCATCGGCTGCCCAGATTTGCCCCACGCTGGTGCGGGCTGCGAGGAGGAGGAGGAGGAGGAGGAGGAGGAGGAGGAGGAGGAGGAGGAGGAGGAGGAGGAGGAGGAGGAGGAGGAGGAGAGGAGGAGGAGGAGGAGGAGGAGGAGGAGGAGGAGGAGGAGGAGGAGGAGGAGGAGGAGGAGGAGGAGGAGGAACAGGAGGGAGGAGGAGGAGGAGGAGGAGGAGGAGGAGGAGGAGGAGGAGGAGGAGGAGGAGGGGGAGGAGGAGGAGGAGGAGGAGGAGGAGGAGGAGGAGGAGGAGGAGGAGGAGGAGGAGGAGGAGAGGAGGAGGAGGAGGAGGAGGAGGAGGAGGGGGAGGAGGAGGGAGGAGGAGGAGGAGGAGGAGGAGGAGGAGGAGGAGGAGGGGGGTCCGTAGCCATTTGGCTCAAGCCATTTTGGCTCAAGGTGGCTTACAGTGAGCTATTGTTGGTGCTCCTACGATCCCTGTTCGAGCCTGCCCGAGGCCTTACAGGTTTGTCTTTCGGCTCTTCATGAAAGGCCAGGGTTGGTACAACCACTGGCAACCCCCTCCCTCGCAGTATCATGGCGGTCAGCAGTACGGAAGTTGGAAGCCCCAGGGACAGCCATCTTCCAAAGTTGTGTGCCAGAGCTGTGGTTGCAAGAAGAATCGCCTCGCGTGGACCCACTGCATGCACTGCAAAGCCCCGCTGCAAAGTGTGTCTAGCAGTCCGTTTGGTGGCAGTCCTCATTTGTCTGATTGGAATGGTGTACCTCCAGGTGTCTTCGCAGCTTCTCCCTTCCTCAACGCAGGAGGCCCTAGCTCAAAAGGTATGGGCAAAGGCCTCAGTGGCGCTGCAGCCATGGGAGGAGGCGCTGGCGGCGGCAAGGGCGTCGCGGGTCAGCCTCCGCTTCCGACTGGGCCCGTGCCGAACCTCAGCCTGGCCGAGGCGAAGCAGCTCTCAGAGCTTTCGCAGAAGGCGGGGGACCTGGTCACGTTCAAGCGCTACTCTGACCTCGTCAAGCACCTGGAGAATGCACAGAAGCCACCGCCTGCTGTTTCTCCTCAGGCGAAGTTGCAGCAAGCCGACAGTGCCGTCAAAAAGCTGGAGAAGAAGCTCGAGGCCGACCTCGCGCGGATGCTCAGGCTACAGAACGAGCTGGAGGAAACTACAACCAAGATGCATGAGACCAAGTCCGCCCTGGCCAAGGCGGACCAGGACTACAAGAATGCCTTGGCGGAATGCAACGAGAGCGCCAAGATCGGGTCGTCCAGCAACGTGGCGAAGGCGCAGTTCACACCTGTCCCGCTGGGCGACCTGGTTGAAGGCAAAGTCGATATCAATTCCTTCTTTTCGTGCGACCTTTTGGACGAGCTCAGTTTGGAGTACGAAGTCACGGAGACCGACCGCATGGAGTTCGAGAAGCGGAAAGTGTCTTTGCGAGATGGAGTGCAGAAGCTGGCATCGGACCTTTTCAAGCAAGTCGTCAACGCCGCGCAGGATGCGAAGAATGTTCACGTGCTGCAGATGTCCCGTCTCGTCCCGAAGCGCAGGAAGAACAACGAGGGCGGTGCTCAGCCAGCTGGTGCGCCAGATGAAGGTGAAGTTCAAGGCCCACGCGCTGCAGCTCAGGGTGCTACAGCCGCTGCAGCCGCCTCCGAAGCAGATGGTGATCGGGACACTGGTGAGGTACCCGTTCCATCTGACGGAGAACAGGATGCGGAGATGGCGGAGCCTGCTGGGCAAGAGCCAGATGGGCGGGACGTGCGTGAGCGGGCCGCCGAGGCACTGGCAGCGTCGGTCTCGCCGCAGGCGGCTACTGCAGCTGCCGCGGCAGGCCAGCACTCTCTTTAGCCTAGGGCAGCGTGTCCTGGCCAGTAACTTTTTAGCCTTTAAGGACTATGCCGACAGGAAATCCGTGATTAACTCCAAGTCGCACCTGTCGGGCATTAGGTATTTCCGTAGATTGCTGCATCAATGTCCTGGCTTGTCGGGAAGCGAGCGGTCTGGGTTTCAGGCTTTTACTGCTCCTCTCCTTCCAGGATCTGTTGTTGTGCCACCAGGCATCGCCCAGGCTCCCCCCACCCTCACCTCCCCGTTGCCTGTTGGATCTGCCACGGGCCCAGGATCAGGTGGTTTTGAAGTTTTTGAAGGTGGAGTTTCGGTGGTGTCTGCCAATCTCAATTCTTGGGGCACTCTCAAGTCGTACCTGGAGTCGTCGGACGCGTCTGTCATCCTGGGCCAGGAGCATCGCCTGTTGGATCCTGACGCCATTGCGCAAGCCTCTTCGTCTGCTTTGAAGCTCGGCTGGAAGTCGACGTGGTGCCCAGGCATCCCTGGTGAAGGTGGAGGGGTCAGCTCGGGCACTGCTATTTTTGCGCGGGACGGCTTCGGCATGTTCGCTGCGTCTACCACAGTGGTGGTGCCTGGCAGAGCAGTCGCAGCCATGGTCCATGCTCCTGGCTGCGAAGCTATCTGTATGGTCTCTATTTACCTTATTCACTCTGAAGGTCTCTCGGAGGGCAACCTCAAAATCCTGTCTACGGTGGGGGAATTCTTGGCGAGTCTGACTTGTGAGTTTGTTTTGGGGGGCGACTGGAACTTGACCCCTGACACCCTGGAGGATTCGGAGTTCGACCTCCTGCTCTCGAGCCAGATCGTTTTTCCCTCCAACCAAACGTGTTTTCCCAGCAAGGGCAAGGCGTCCGTTTTTGATTACTTCCTGGTCTCGCGGGCTCTGGCCAAAGGAACCAAGTCGATCCAGGTGGACACCCTTGCTGGCACGAGCCCTCATTTCCCCGTCAAGTTAAGCTTCCACCCCTCCCTGATGGATCTCAAGGCTCTCGCCTTCCGCCGCCCCCCTCCGATTCCGGTGGTCCCCCCTGTGGGCCCCCAGCCTCAGGAAGGCGACTGGTCTGGGGCCTTGGAAGTTGCTCGGAGAGGGTATGAAGCGGTTTTGAATGACGATTTTTCTTTGGCTGTCAGTACTTTGGACGCAGGTTATTCCTCTTGGGCTAGGTCTGCGGAGAGGGACCTCGCCAACATCATGGGCGTGGAGCTTGGAGTGCAGGGAGCCAGAAGCAAGAGTCCGCAGATGTACTGGAAGCCAGTTCTCAGGCCTGCAGGGCGGGCACGTGACGCTCACGGTAAGCCGATTTATTGGCTGCACGCCCAGCTGCACGCGCTGGTCTGCTACAGTCAGGACTGGACCGTCAACGCTTGCAATGCTTCTGATATCCTCAAGTCTCTTGCTGATCCAGATGCGGCGGTCCAGCCTCCTGCTGATAGCGAATTTGCTGTGGTGTTTCGTGCTGCCGCTAGCTTAGGCAAGCGTGGCCTTAGCTTGTCGCAAGATAGGTTGGCCGAATTTCGATCGGAACTTGAGGAGTTGGCTGATGAGGTGATCGGTCTTTGTTCAAAAGCTAAGGCGAGTGCGGCCAACTCCTCGAGGACTGCCTGGCATGACTGGCTTCGTGCTGGTCTGGACAACGGGGGCCGTAGAGCCCACGCCGCGTTGAAGGATCCCGAAGGTTGGACGCCCTCCACCACCCTCTCCTCCAACGGGATAGTGGTTGCTGACCCCAAACACCTTTTAAAAGCCGAAGGAGACAAACTTGCTTCCATATGGGGAAGGGGTACTGGAATGGGTATTGGAGATGACTCCATCCTCTTGCCCTCCTCCCTCCTCACTCCTCTTGAGCTTCGGGATATTTCCAGAACCTACCAGGAGCGGAGTGCTGTGTCCCTGGACGGATTTCATTGCCGTCATTTTTCTGTCCTTGGCGACCAGGCTTTGCAGGCTATGAGTTTTCTTCTTTTTGTCATAGAAGCGACGGGCAGGCTGCCAAGACAGCTTGCGTGGGTGCTGCTCGCGCTTCTGCCCAAGCCTACGGGCGGGTTCCGACCGATAGGGATATTTCCTGCGTTCTACAGGGTTTGGGGAAGGGCGAGGAGGAACGAAGTTGCGCAATGGGAGGCTGACAATCCTAGAGTTTACTGGGCTGCAGGTGCCAACCGCGGCCCAGTCGACGTTGTGTGGAGGCAAGCCGTTCGAGCCGAGATTGGCACGCGCAAAGGAGAATTCTCGGCTTCCTTGTTTTGGGATTTCAGGAAATACTACGAGCACATCGGGTTAGGTTTCCTCTGGGCCAAGTGCCGTGAACACGGTTTCCCGCTCCCCCTGGCCAGGTTGGCCATTAACGCTTTTTCGGCCGCTAGGTTTTTGGCGCTGAATGGTCTTGTTGAGGGCCCGTACTTCGTGCTAAACGGGATTATCGCTGGTTGTAGCCTGGCTGCTTCCTTGATCCGCGTTTTCGCGATGTCGGCCTTCGACGAGATCCCTCGGAGCGTTAAAATCGACTTCGACGTTTACATTGACGACACCTCTCTGAGCAAAACTGGTTCTTTTCGTGAAGTGGTGCAGGGCATAGTTCGAGGTGCCAATATCTTGCATCGTGCGATCACTGCCACTCTTAAGTGCAAGCTGGCCATGGATAAGATCGGGCTTGTGACTTCTCATAAGAGCGTTGCGAACAGTATCCATGACCAGCTTGGGCCCTTGGCTGGAGAAGCTAAGGCGAGTATTGTCAACTTAGGTATCGACGCAGCTGCTGGCAAAGCTATCCGAGCTCGCGGTCAAGGTAGAGCTGTTAAACTGAAGGCGCGTTTATCGGCAGCGGCGCGCAAGGCTTGCAGGCTTCGGAAGCTTCATAAGCCCCTCGGGCGTAAGGCCACTAAAATTTTTGCTGCTGGCCCAATGGCTGGTGGTATTTTCGGGACCGAGGTTTATGGGGTTTCGGACCGTGAGCTCTTAGCTCTGAGAAGGATGGGCATGAGCACGATCAAGCCTCGCGCGCAAGGCCGCTCTCTGTCTGTCATCTCTCTCCTGGAGGGCGACCCCCCGTGGAGGGCGGCCGTGGCCCCGATTGTCCGCTGGTCGCGAGAGATCTGGATTCTTCAGACTCATTGTTTCGAGTGGAGTCTTTCCTGGGCCGAGCTCAGATCTGGCTGGGAGCATGTTTTTCTGCTTGACGACCTCAGTTGGAGTAAAGTTTCGGGCCCGATTTCTGCCCTTAGGATGTCTTTGTATAGGCTGGGCTGGTCCATGCCGAACTTTTGCACCCTCAAGGACGATTTCGGCCGAGAAATACCGCTGACTCTGAATACTCCTCAGATGGTTAAGTTGCTTTGCAAGGAGGCCGTGCTTCGTGGTCTGGAACGTGACTCGGGGGACAGCTATGGGGCGGGCCACAGGCTCTGTTGGGACGTTGCCAAGCACCTTTTAGGCTCTTCCAAGGTTCCCAAGAAGGACAAGGGCCTCATCAGGGCCCTGGCTTGCAGAGGATTCTGGACGGCATCCGATGCAGTGGCTGCTGGATATGTGTCTATCTCGCCCCTGTGCGCGCGCTGCGGCCGAGCCAGCGATACCCTGTTTCACCGGCTGTGGCAGTGTCAGTGTGCAGAGGTCCGAGCCATTCGAGATGCGGTTGTGCCGACTTGGATTCAAGAAGAAGCCCTCGACACCGCGTCTAAAGGATATGACCGACTTTTATTTCTGTATGGTTGCTTTCAACACCCTGGAGATGTGTTCCCTAAGCCGGCCTCGGAAGGAGGAGTGGAGATCAAGTGGCACGTGGCAGAGGTCCCCTCTCCTCACCCCGACTCTCCTCCTGTCCTTCCCTCCGACGGGCTCTGGGGGCACGTTTTTACCGACGGTTCCTGTCGTCGGCACTTGGTCCGTGAGCTCTCTAGGAGCTCCTGGGGCCTTGCGATGGTTTCTAACGATGGTTCGCTCCTTGGGGAGGTCTCGGGCCCTCTTTGGGCCCCTTGCCCGCAGACGCCTCAAGGAGCGGAATTCGCTGCGTTTCTCTGGTCGAGCTGCTACGCCTCTGCCGAGACAGATCTTTATATCGACTGCAAGAACGTAGTCGATCAGGCGGGCCTCTCTGCTGCTAGTGCCTTCTCCCACAAAAAGCAGTACGGAGGAGCGATCCTGCAAGCTCGGCACCTGTTTGGCAAGTTCTTTCGCTCCTGCACAAAGGTGCAGGCGCACAAGGCTTTGGACGAGGAAGGAATTTCTGCGTCCGAGCGCTTTGCGAGGCAAGGGAATTTCTATGCAGATCATGTTGCGAAGAGTGCCTTACAGAAGCACCCTTCTGCTGACCCGCGTGACCTTGATGAGCTGGACAGGAAAATTAAGATTGCCAAGCACGTCCTAAAGCTGGGCGCTGCAATTCTTCTGGAATGGCCGCATCTCGAATTCAGAGGTTCTGAGAGAGTCAACCCTCCCCTCGCAGCCCCAAAACTGGTGCTGGCTCACTCGTGGAAGCGCTCGAGTGGGCTTTGGAGGTGTGAGGTCTGCTTGAAGGGTTCTACGAGGCCTGGGGATAAATGTCCGCCAGATAGCGTGTGCCCTGGGAAGTCCAAACTGGATCAGGGTGTGTTAGAGAGACTAGGACACAGGGTGATTGCCCTGCCGTGCTCCGACGCCTCTCATGTTTTCGTTTGCTTGTCCTGTAAATTTTATTCGAGTGGTGCTCAGGTGCTGGGCCTCGGTCGCGTCTGCAGGCCCCCCACCGTCACTGGAATTCGGAATTTCAGGAAGCTCAAGAAAGGCTATCACCCTGACAAGGAGGGAGTTTCAGTCTTCTGTGACGAATTCAAAGCATTAATGTAAGAATTCGCTGTCACGTCCTGTGTGCGTCTCGGCTCAGTGCGTGGCAGTCCAGTCTCGGAGGCATGGCGGTGCGAAAAAAAAAAAGAGGAGGAGGAGGAGGAGGAGGAGGAGGAGGAGGAGGAGGAGGAGGAGGAGGAGGAGGAGGAGGAGGAGGAGGGAGGGGGGAGGAGGAGGAGGAGGAGGAGGAGGAGGAGGAGGAGGAGGAGGAGGAAAAAGTGCGGGCCCAGGGCTTCAGGCAGCTGCCGTGTGGCCGCGGGGCGTTCGCCAGCGCTCGGCCCGCCTGCGGCCAGGGCTTGGTGGTCCTCCGCGCGTGCACCCCGCGGGCGCGGAGGAGGCGGCGAGGAGCGTGGCAGCGACGGGGGCAGCGGCGCCAACGCCGGACGAACGACGAAAAAGAGGGCGAGCGAGAGCGAAGGCGGCGAACGACGACGAAGTCGACGACGCTCACGAGGACGACGAGGGCAAACGAAGAGAGGTACGAGAACGACTCGCCACGACGACGCCGGCGACACCGGCGACGTCGACGACGAGGGCGAGCGATGAAGAGGAGGGTGCTGGCGCCGACGACGAGCAGCGACGACGACGAGCGACGACGACGACGACGACGACGACGACGACGACGACGACGACGACGACGACGACGACGACGACGACGACGACGACGACGACGACGACGACGACGACGACGACGACGACGACGACGACGACGACGACGACGACGACGACGACGACGACGACGACGACGAGCGACGACGACGAACGGTTACGAGCAGCGACGACAACGTGGTCGACGACGAGCGACGAGCGACGACCGACGTGGGCGACCACGGAGCGGCGGGGCGGCGCTGCGCAGGGGCTCGCCGCCGAGCTGGCGCTGCGGTTCCTGTGGCTGGCCGAGGCCCCCTCCGCCCCCGGGGGGGGGGGCGCGGGGCCGCCCCGGCCCTCGCCGTGCGCCGCCCGTGGCGCCCCCGGTGCTGCAGCCTCGGGGGACCTCGTCTGACGCGCCGCGGCCCTGTCTCGGCGGTGAGCCCCGGGGGGAAATGAGCAGGGGCGGGCCCTCTTCGAAGGCTCGGAAGTCCCCCGGCCTTCTGAGAAGTGTTCTAAGCTTTCCCTGGAGCTCCACGCTGTCGGCTCGCAGGGCCTAGCGCATAGCGCGTCGCCGGTAAGCAAACGCTTAGTCGCCGCCGCCGCGACACGCTGAGCAAACACAGACCGAGACCATCCGGTGGCCGAAGATGCTTCATTTTGCACAGGGCCCGTTTTCTGCAGGGCCGGCCTTTTCAGGCGGCAAGGTGGGATGTACCACTTTTTGAATCCGGTGCTTCGGCTGTCGAGTGGACCTGATCAGGGTTCGAGCCCTTCTGGCCGCCGACGAGGCCAGAAGTTGCCGCGTCCCTGCTGGTGGCGTCCGGCCCACAATGCGAGCTAAGAAGCCCAGGTGCCGAAGATGCCACGGCGGCGAGCGCCCCAGACGTCCGGGGGGCCCTTCTCGGACCCTGCGCGGACGGAACATCGGCTCGCGTCGAGAAGCTGGTTTCGAGGAGTCACTAAGCATAAAGCAGCCCTGAACCCTGATAGCACGATGAGTTCGTGGCCTATCTTTCCGTAGCCATGTTGACTCAAGTCTTTTTGAGCGTAAGGCAAGTCAGGCCCACGCGCTGCTGGCTCCGAGGCACAGCGCACCCCTCCTTCCCCACACCTTGAACAGGGGGCGGGTAGACGTTTTTTTCTGTTTGTAAGCGACCTCTCAGTCAATACCCGTTGCCGCAATCTATTGAACGATTTGTATTCCGTTGCATGCGCTACGACCGTCGCATTAGGGCAAAGCTCGCGGTTCCGTGCTGTACGGTCTGCATCGCAGTCGCAGTGAATTGTCCCGGGTGGTCGATATCTGCGCGGCGTAAAGGATGTTACCATCATGTTTGCATTATGGCTGGAATCTCCAACGAGTTCGACTGTGCGTCCGTCATTTCCTCTTACGCGCTTCCGATTTCCCAAGCGTTCTTCAGGAACGCATTGCTACTACGCCCGACATCTACAACGGCGTCCCATTGTCGACGCTGCCCCCATCTGTTCGAGGCGATGTTCTCGAAGATGTGGCTCAACGAGTCGACATTGAATTGAACAAGGAGTCGAATTTTGGGAAGGCTGTTCTTGATAAGCGTTACACTTGTTGCAGACGAGGACGCACGTGAACGGAGTACGATTGGCTTCGGGATGGATCGCGTATCGAGTCCAAGAGATCGAAGATGTTACGGGATTCTCCAAATAAGTCATGGTTCTTCCATGTCTTATCTGCTAATGGCTAGGACTTTTTTTCGAATGTTAAGACTGCTCATGGTGGCCTTCGGAGGGAAGCTGCGTTTGATGAGCCACTTCTTGTACTGTACACTCCTACGCATCTGTATTTCTACAAGCACGACGGGGCATTCGGTTTGTCTTCTGCTGGCGAACGCACCACCACAGCTGGCCACCAGCTCCGCATACGCGGTAGTTCCCTTAACGCAGAACGGAGGGTTGCCCTTGAAGCCATGTTGCCATGTTGGATAAGCTCGACGGCAGCAGAAACTATTGCTCATGCCTGTCAGTGATGCCTCTACCAGACAGCCGAATACAACTCGCTCTAAACCTTCGGTGCGACGTTACCAAGGGGATCTTTAATGATTGTCCCCTGTTTGAGGTCCCTCCTGCAGCGAGAGGATTGCGACTTGAATTGCTTGTATGCGCTGTAGACAAAGTCGTTAACCCTCATGCTGATATCAAGCTGCCCAGTCCTGGGCAACAGCGGCCTCGGACTTGCGATTGGCATCGAGACGTGATTCACATGGAATGCAAGAGCTCGCAGCTTCAGTGGGACAAGTATGGGTGACGTCGGTGCTTCTTTGTGTCAGAACATTTTGTTAAGTCCGTCTTTGTTCGACCAACTACTGCTAGCATTTTACACATCCAGGGGAGTTCATGTTTTCTCCATGATCAGAGCTTTGGTATGTCATCAGCTGGAGTCGCAACATATATTGCGGGCCACCATATCATCGTGTCTGGCCCGAGTATTGACACCGATTGGTCACTTTCATTGGACAATGCTCAGCAATATGGGCGAGTCGAATTGCAGTCTTGTGGCGTTCGTTCGTTGGACAACGCGCATGCTCATGCCCCACTACCAGGCCCCTGAGTGATCGTCATGCTGCCGGACAGCGAGCGCAGTAAAAGCAATTGAACTCGTGGCCTAATCTAGGTCCTTTGTTCTAGGATTATCCCAAAACATGTGGGCGGCTTCGTCTGAGGCATCTGCAAACAAGACCCCTAGCCCTAATGTTCCTGGCCCTCCCGCTAAGGTCCCCTCCCCCAGGAGCAAGGGGTACCCGTCTTGCTTCTTAAGAATGGGGTCGAGCGCTCCAGGACCCGGCGTCGGAAGCAGTCGCGACGTCGGCTGGTTGGGCACGAATATCTACAGCCACGGCGGGCACTGCAGATGTCCACCAACCGTTCTCGGGCCACATGGCGAGAAGCGGCTCGCCCCGGAACGCGACGATCGAGTACGAGTGAAGTCGTATTATCGAGGTCCCAATTCCAATACCACTATTACTATTACTACTACTACTACTACTGCTGCTACTAGTAGTAGTAGTAGTAGTAGTAGTAGTAGTAGTAGTAGTAGTAGTAGTAGTAGTAGTAGTAGTAGTAGTATTACTACTACTACTACTACTATCACTATTACTACTACTAGTACTACTGCAACTACTACTACTACTGCTACTACTACTACTACTACTACTACTAGTACTACTCCTACTACTACTACAAACACTACTACTACAACCATCACGAATTACTACTACTACTACTACTACTAGTACTAATACTGCTATTACTACGAGTCGTACAACAATAACAACGACAACGATATGTAGTATATCACACCACTCTTACACCTACTACCTCTATTATCTACTACTAGTTTTGATACTACCACTGCGACCACGACTACTACACTTGTTATTGTTATTCCTCTGACAGCTACCACTAAAACTACTAGTAGCAGTAGTACTACCACTGCTAGTACTACTTGTACTACTACTACTACTACTACTACTACTCCTACTACTACTACTACTACTACTACTACTATTACTACTACTAATACTACGATTGCTGCTCGAATTAGAGAACACTACTATCAAGACAGCAGCTGCTACAAGTGCCACAACTACAAATAAACATCTACCATTTCCGCATCCACTACTACTACTACTGCTGTTGCTGCAACTACTGCGACTGATACTTCTACTACTACTGCTACTACTACTACTTCTACTTCTACTTCTTCTACTACTACTACTACTACTACTACTACGATCACTATTCGTATTACTACTGGTACTATTCTACTACTACTACTACTACTACTACTACTACTACTACTACTACTACTAGCACTACTACTACTACTACTACTACTACTACGACGACGACGACTACTACTACTACTGCTACTACTACTACTACCACCACTACTACTACTACTACTACTACTACTACTACTACTACTACTTCTACTTTTCCGACGACTACTACCGCTGCTACTACTACTTTTACTACTACTTATATGTTTCCTTCGACTTCTACTACTACCACTACTACTACTGCCACTACTGCTACTACTACTGCAACTACTGCTACTGCTACTGCTACGCTGTGATGCGGTTTGTTCCTGCGTGTTGTGATCTGCGACGTTGGGCAAGTTATAGTCTTGCTCTGCCGTACGCTGTTCTACTATCCTGCGGGACGTTATATCACATGCGCACAACATATGCTATGTTGTGATATGCCGCGCAACGTGCTACCGTATGTTATGCTATGTTGCGTTGCCAGGTGTGCATGTGTGCGTTTATCCCTGCCACTGGTTGTGTTCGGGCTGTGGGCAAGAGAGGATTCTAGAAATCTCAGAAGTTCTAGTAATTCCAGAAGTTGCCACATTGTGTTTGGTAAGGCAAGGATATTCTTTCTATGCTATGATGCGGCATGTCCCTGCGATTGGTGAGTTGCGACGTTGGGTTCCTTACTCGTTCTTCCCCGTTGTCTTTCTTTCATCTTGTCCACCTCATTCTCCCCCTTCATTTTAGCATGATGCTGCTCGTTTGCTTTGTTCGAGTGTGTTATCCTCCAGAGCCACCGTGCTCCTCCCATTCAGTCACCGAGCATATTTTGCCATCTCGTCCCTCTTTCGTCCTCCCCCCGTCCTTCCCTCCATCCTCTTGGCCTCCTCATGCTCCTCCCCTCATTCTAGCATGGTGCTGCTCGTGTCGCGGTCACGCACCGAGAATACTATCGTCTTAACCTAGCATTGCATTGCTCGTGCCGCGGTCACGCACCGAGCATGCTCTGCCATAGCGCCATAGTTTGGCCGTGTACACGCATCGGACATCCTCTTGTCTTCCTCATGCTCCTCCCCTCGTTCTAGCATGGTACTGCTCGTGTTGCGGTGGGGCAGCGGGTATAGGAACAATCAGCTCGGCGGATGCCAAGAGCCTGTCTTTCTGAGGGTCTGGCGATGGACGCCGGGTTGCCGGGCGCGCCCGCCGCACCCCTCGCCTCCCCCGGATATAGCCCTGACCTTCCCGGATGCGCAGGCCTCAAAGGGGGGTACGCAAGCACCTGCGCGCGCGGGCATCCGTGGGGCTGCCCAGGGCGAAACTTCTAGGTTGTCGGCCGGCATCTTTCTCCACCCGCTAGATCACTTGGGCATCGCCGAAAGATGAATATTGACCTCCTGGGCTACAGGATCCAGGCGCAGCTAGAACAAATGCGGTGGCTATGGTTTCTTGTTGTTTGGTTCGGCCTCCGTGGTTAGCCCCGATCCGAACCCAGGGACAGGCAGCCAGCCTGGCGATGAGTCAT